CACCACCGTCCTAATAACTGGGATTTCGTACAACTTCCTCTCAGAAAAGGACAACAGCCGGTTACATGTTCAATGCACTTAAAATCAGGAGTCCTATGTTTCATTCCTTTTTAACCTGTATTCTTCCAAGGATCTTTGAAAAAAAGCTAAACATGTTTGAAAGACAAATAACGTGTATAATTTGTTAGGAAAATTAAAAGTAAAACGATGCAATTACTGTCCAATAATGTAGAGAAAAGCAGGGCACATACTTCTTGAAGGCAGCAGAAATCACCGTCTTATCTCCGACTTTGGCTTCCTCCTTTGAGAAGAACCCAAAGCCGCTGAACGAGGCCGTTTGTCCAGACTTTGTGGGACTCTTCGCTGGAGGAGGTGACACGCTGCCGACGGTTTTCCACAGCGGACCGCCGCTCGGAGGCCCTTTGCTCTCAGCACTAGAGGGCACGTCTTCCTTCTTTACCTCGGGGCTGATTCGTTTGGGGCTTGCGTCGTAGTCGATCCATTTGCCTCCGGACGCCTTCTCGATGGCGCTGCCGTCGGCCCCCTGTCCGGGTTTCTCTGCTGGACTCTCTGTGACCTTTTCTTTGCTGTCCTTGGAGCCAGGCTTGCCCTTGCTGCTGCGATGCCGGGGGGACGGGGATCTGGACCGGGAGGAGTAGCTGGAGCGTCTGGAGCGCCGGGATCGTCCTGAAGACGAGCGGTCGGAGTAGCGGGACCGGCTCCTGCTGCCCGAACGCTTCCTGGGCGTACGGGAGCGAGAGCGACCCCTCCTGGGGCTGTGGGAGTGGTGGTCCTGGTCACGGTGACGGTCGTGCCAGCCTCCTCCCCCTCCTCCTCCTCCTCCTCCACCACCGCCGCCGCCGCCGCCACCCTGCCAGTTAGCTTTGTAGCCGTAGCCGCCTCCCCCTCTGTTCTGGTAGTGGCCTCGTGGGTGGTAGCCCCGGTTCCGGCCTCGGTAGTGGTACGGCCTCCGGTAGCCTCGGTTGTAGCCTCTGAAGCCGCCTCTGTTGTTCTGATAGTCCCGAGAAGGATAGTTTCTGTAGGTTGGAGTATGTGAGCGAGACCGGGACCGAGACCTGGAGCTGAATAAGACAGAAGAGGGAAAAGACAGAAAGAAGAATTAGAGGGTTTTATGTGACTGCTCGTAAGTTTACAGCAAGTTTCAGTTTCAGCACAAGACGGAGCGACAGACTTACAAACACTCAAAGTCAGTGACCTCGAACAAGAGACTGAGCGAACATCAGAAACTAACTGAACAACGGTCACAGCTCGATACGCATCTCAGTTTTGACGTCAGTTTGGTCGGTTTTTGTTGCAGCAAAAACAGGAAACACAAAACATTAAACTTGCTTTGACTTCTCCAGGATGTGACGAGGACACCGGCCAACAAACATGTTTTCATGTCGAGTTCACTGAAGGACGCTTCCTTTTCAAACCCACCTTCACCGCCTTCACATCGATTTTCATGCCATTTTTTGCGTTAAAATGTTCTAAATCCAAACTACACAACTCAGTGATGAACCTACTGACAGAACAACTTCAATAGTCGACAAAATCTTTTCTGAATTTGAGCAAATTTGAGAAATTCAGCCAATCCAGCTGTTTAAAATGGTAACAGGATTGATGACTGGAAGAATTTCACAAACTGACTTCACAACAACTTCATCGTTTCCTGACACGTTACGGCCAAAACAACGAATGAGTAAATTCAGAAACTCTAATGAACATAACTGGCTGCACTCAGAACTCGGTTTTTAAAAGACTGCAGCGATAATTCAGCTGTCTGACCAGCAGGTGGCGCCTCCAGCACACTGTGACTGTTGGTGACCTTAGAGACTTTAAAACCAGACAAAACATTGCACACCGTTTTAAAATCACGGCCCTTAGTGGTCCACAAACCATATTTTGACACGCATTGGCAATAGACAGACACCTCCTACTGAAGTGGAGCTCTCTTGTGCCTGGAACAAATCACCGCTGAGACCGGTGGCTCATCCTGTCCGATATAATCTGTGTGTTGTACAGCGTGAAGAAAAATGACAGATAAAAGTGATAAACATTGTCCTATCAGCACAGCCCTAACCTAACTGTAGGAAAGCTTGGACACTGAAAACAAACAACTCTGAAGTGAGAATGGTACAACTTCAACCTTCATATTCCAGAGAAAAATTCAAATAACCAAGACAGGATCCTCATGGACACGGAGCTGAAATGCTTACCCATTGGATCTTTTCATTAGAACGGAGCGGCCCTGGGCTGTGCTTCATTACATGTGAGAGGTTGGTTCCCTCCAGCCGGATGTCTTACTGTATGTGTCGGTAAAAGGTGGATCCAGGACACAATCTGCTCTAATCCACAGAGGGAGGAGGCAGCGAGAAGGAAGGAGGAGATACAGCAAAGCCACAAGTTGCTGCTCCCGACTTCTATTTCGCTCTTTCTTTGACAAATCATTGACATGCAGCGGAGCACAGCTCTTCAGGGGAAAAAAATGCTGTTCAACCTCCCAGAGTGTGTGAAAGTGGTTAACCTTTGAGCTTCAAACACAAACTACACCGACAACACAAAGCTGAGAGGGCAAAAAGCAGCCAACCGAGGAGATTAGACAACATTCACATGCAAGAGTTCTGATTTGAATTCTTTAAAAAAAAATCTAGTACAGTAATTTTTACACACACGTACATTTACTTTTAAAATCGTAGTTTTCTTCCCTCCCTAATGTCAGCTCAGTGGAACCTGAACGTGTTTTGTGATGTGTAAACTGCTGAATGAATAAATCAGGCCACTGGACATTTGTACGACAGCAGGACTGGGCGATAAAACAGCAACGTACATCAATTAAGACTTCATCAGTGGACATAAGAGAACTGCTCGTTTCACTTTGATGCAATCTCAGATGAAAGTTGCATCAACAAACTCCAAACACGTCCCCTCCCCGCCTCGTAAACAGCTTATCATGTCCCTGATAACAGTGACACACAAAGAGCCAAATAATTTAACAGGCTGTTGTTTGGTTGTACCATCGGTGTGTAACACAACCCTGAGCCGTCTCCGTCTGCCAGCACGTCTCAGAGACTGGACCTGTTCGCTGGAGGAAACCTGCAGAAACAGTCTGACCTCCGAACATCTCTCTTTTTTTAAAAATTATTTCTGTATAGTCATTGCTTTTTGCATGTTTTTGCTTTTCTATGCTGTGTTAACATCTGAAGTGTTGGGTTATCTGTGAGCCTTTTAATAAGTTATTACTTTTGTTTTGTTTTTTTTAATTCAGCCTTCTTTCTCCTGGCCATTATTTAAAGTAGGTCTTGATGATATTATCAATAATCAATTATCAATATCAACTGAAATAAAACATTGCATCCTGATATAATTTTCAGCTTTAGCCCTAAGTTGTGTAGATTTAGAAACAGGCTAAAGTAGTAAAATGGCCTTTGTTTGTCATTAATAACTATCGAAGACATTGTCAAATACAGAACATTTATATCATGGATGGACTTTTCAGTTATATTGCGAAGCCCAAAACGAGCTGATGCAGGTCTGTACGTCCTCCCACACGCAGAAAGACATGCAAATTAACAGGGAACCTGGAATCAGGCAGTTCAAGCCAAGAAAAAGAAGGAAATGAGGAACTAACTGAGTTAACACCTGAATTTAACTATATCAAAATCAGCTGCGTTGGCCGAGTGTATAAACACATAGAGGACTAATAGTTTCTCAAAGTAACTGGATAAAAAACAGACACGTTCGTCTACAGAAGGGCAACAGCTTAGAAAAGTTAAGTTAGTGATGAACTAGTCGGTACAGCAACCAAACAACAAAGGTTTAGTGCAAAATAGAGTCATTAGCGACTAACACAGAGCTGTTGACAGCGTATTTACATGAGGGAGGTCTAATGGAACCGAGCGCTGCGTTGCTTGGATGAAATATAAACAAGCATGTGGAACGGAGTAAACACGGAGGGTCGGGGTTCCAACAGTTGTTCCTGTCATCGATCAAGATATCAGTTCTTAAAAAAACAAAACCTGCAGCAGTTACACACAAGTTGGTTTGTGAGCCGTACTTCCAGATGAAACCCATAAAACGATGTGTACAGAAACTGCTCAGCTCTTCACGGGACGGTTTACTGTTGCAGAGATGTCGTGTCATTATGAAGCAAACAGCGAGTGAAACACGATGCGGCTGTTCCTCGCTGCTTTGTGCAGAAGAACAAACACCAGAGCCACGGGGATGTTTGTGCACAAACACACTCAGCTAACAGGGAAAAAAAACCTCGACCTGTGAATCACAAAACCTACGGCAACAAGCACGTAAACTAAAACCGAAAGCTGAAGGGATTGTAGACCAGACTGCACGATTAACAAACTGCTGTTTATTCTTTGCAAGTAAATCTGACTGGTTGACTCGTTTATAATTTGAATTATGAGTCGCGTCACAATTGTTACATTTTAGTTAAAGAATAATTATCACTCGAATAATTTCAATTAACAAATTGTCATTTTAGTTAGTTTTAAAACAGTGCAGTTAATGACTTTAAACGGCACCGTTTCAGCATCGAATCCAATAAATCAGCTCCTTCACGTTACTGAGATCAGCTTCCTCGTTTGGCTGCAAACCAAAATGTGCCCACAGCAGTTTCATGCTGTTTGTCTTTGCAGCTAAATCCATTACAGTAATGTCAATAGATGCTCACTAAAACGCACTCATGAAATATGAGAAGCTATGCACCTGGAAAAAAAAAAAAACGGTTTGTGTTGTGAACAGAAGACTGGGTTCAAACTGTGGTGACCAACGTGTCTGTCAGTTTCATACAGGTGAATGAAAACGATAATTTAACATTGTTGCAGCTTAAATCAGGTGATCAGCTGATTATGTATTGATGGTACCAACATCTAACAAGTGCAGAAAAGTAAAACATATTTATTTAACATTTAGCTGTGTACCAACCGACTGAAGGCCTCGATAGCTTGTGGATGATACAGGTCATGAATGTTCTGGATTCATTCATTCATTCTGGACCTACCTGTAGCGTCGCTTTCTGGATCTTGAACGTGAGTGGCTTCTGGAGTGAGATCTGGAGTAGGACCTGGATCTGGATCTGGACCTGGATCTGGAGCGGGACCGAGCTGGAGAATCTGGAGCCTTTGACATCTTTTCAATCAGTCAGGCCAGTACAAATGAGTCTTTGCTAAAAAAAAGAAGAGAAGGAAAGGAGCCGTCAGTGGTAATGCTTTGCTTGTGCACAGAATTTACTCTCTAAACGTTCATTATGGGAAAGAAACGGGTTCAAACAAACACCACATTAACTGCAGGGCTGCACCATGACGCTAGTTTGACAAAGTCAGGCTTTCTTTGTGTGAGCTGGTTCAAGAAAGCCTAAAGCCCCCCCCATCAGAGATAACGGTGTCAGACGTTGGTTGTCATCTTTCTTTGTGAAGCAGGTTTTGAAGAATATAAACATGTATTACAGTTAAACGCTGGTAGAAAACTGTTCATGCAGCTGCTTATTTCTAACTTACACGACTTTTGTAACTTGAAACCCAATTCATTTAAACCTAAGACTCAACATTTACACCTGACACTGTCCCGTGATGGAGGAGACGTGGAAATCACTTTAGTTTTTGGACAAATTAAAGTGAAATGAACGTTACTGATTGAACACTTTCTGTGATAAACACCAACAGACTGATTCATTTTCTCACCTGTGTTCTATTCGCTGCAGTACAAAACAGACTGAGCAGCAAATCAGGACCAAACATAAAAACACAACATGCTTTTTCTGCATCACCAACTGAATATATGTCGGTTCCCATGGCAACGTGATGTACACAGTTTTCCTGCTGTAACTACAACGTACAGCTGAACAGGTTTGCAGATGAAACCTCAGCTGAGAGTTTTTTACAGCTCAGAGATAATCATCAGGAGAAGATGCTTCTTACGGCCGATTTAAATCTCCAACTCTGAACAGACCCGCCTCCAGATCTGTGCAGCATTAGTTACCATGGTGATGGAGGAGGTTAAAAGAGAGCCGTCATCACAGCATTTAGAATTCCAGCTTTAGGCTCAGCATACCTGCTAACACGCTAATCTCACACTCCGTACGCTCCTCTGGTAGCAAAGGTCAGACTGTTGCGCAAACATCAAACAAAGCCGGACATTAATCAGACCTGTGCAGCTTCTCCCTGCCGACAGGCTGAAGGCGGGACGCTGTATGTGGCACCTCGCTGCCCGTCAGCAGGACCACCGGCCCCACATGACCTTGAACCGTCAGAGCAAAATAAATCAGAGCAGGGAAAACGAACGCAGGCCAACAGGCTTCAGACTGCAGCAGACAGCTGGACAGAGTGTAAACATGTGTTCTGAGCCGGCAGCAACATGAGACAGGAGGAGCCGAGCTGCTGTTTGCATGTTCAGGCTGAAAGCTGGATCGACATCAGACAAACCTGAACAGTGCTGCTATCCAGAGACATGACCTTACTACCAGATACCAGGATCTGACTCAGAGGTCTCCATCTCTACTACGAATGTTATCAAAGGAGTCTGAGTCAGAATCAGCTCCGTGGGCTTCGTGTAGTTTCTAGAGGCAGCTGTGAGAAGACGGCCGAGGAAGTGATGCTGTATCATTCCTACATATAGGCGTTTAGTGGGACGCCCGCAAGGTTTAAGGATGAGACAATAACCATGAACATCCCCGTTTAAGTTTGATCAGGAACTTTGGTTACAACACTTTGACCTTTTTAATACCAAAATGAATGTAAGTTAATGCTTATTTCTGCAATGCTACAATGGAAAACCAATACAGATTAAATAAATATGACAGAAGTTCATTAATCCTGAGAGACATTCTTGTGAAAAATTGCAATAACATGAGAAAAAATCCTGTCTGGTAGAAGAGCAATGCGATGCAACGATGAAACGTGACGACAAATAAAAACAATAAGCTCAAACAAAACGAGAACAGACATGTAGGAAGTAGTTCTCGTGAAGTAGCAGTGAAGTAATATCGCACATGACAATGAAGTATTGTTCACAACATGAACAGTGACAAGAACAGTGTAGAGTCCAATGGTTATTTGTTATCATATCACATCAGCTGTACATGATACAACAGTTCATAAAAATCATCATGAACTGGATCCATATGAGCAGATGGACGTGTTAATCAACTAAAAATGACTCAGTAATTTAATATTAATAATTAGTTTTCAACAACAATATTCATCAGCAACTATTTTCATAACTGATTTAGGGTCTCAGTTGTTTTTTTGGAGCAAATACCCCAAATATTTTTAGCTAAAAAAAAAAACAAACAAAAAAAACGAGTATGTATTGCTACCATCGATTATTACAGCAAATGTCAGATGTTGAGGTCTGGGTTGATAAAGGCCAAAATGAAAAAACAGCAGGTGACTGAAATCATATTAGACTTAAAAAATAAATGTAAGACCTTTAAAATACTTTGTAAGGCCTTTTTTCTTGGAGGAAACTGAAATCAACTTTGAGACTGTCGTCTCTTTACTCTTTCTATGTAATAAATAAATACAATTTTAAAATATAAACAGTTTCTTCTCGATTAAAAGACTGAAGATGCTGTTATAAAGGTAGAAAATGATCAGTAGTAGGAATAATAATGCAGCCGTATTCCATGCATGTTTGAATTTGAACACACGGCAGGAAAATGCTGAGCAACTTTCTACTGACGTGTGAAGCAAACAAATGACACCTTGGTTAGATAAAACTGACTCCAAGTTAACTCATGAATCTGCGCTAAAAGTAATTAGACAATTTTCAGAGGAGGTGAAACATCAAAACAGCCCTTGGAGTGAGCAGTCGGTATCTCATCCCAACACTGCAGGACAGGAACATTTGATTGTCTTGATCTACACGCCAGTTACTGCCAAAGAAAAAAAACTCACCTAAATTTAGCAGGTTTTGTCTGTTCTGCTGCCTACATGTGGAGATGCTTCAGTTATTTCTGCGTGAAAGTGGAGAAGCACCAGTCTGTAACACAGCAGCAGCCCTGGAGCGAGTGGTGCTGCTTTAGTGCAGCGAGGCGAAGACAATGTTTTTACTACAACAGGGAGCAACCAGGATGTTGAGAAGGCAGCGTCCCTGGTGATAATGACGTCAGTCGGCCGACTCTACTGCTCAGTCAATGTCTGAAGCGTTTGCATTTGATTTAAGGGTCCCAACCAAGACCCCACTGAAATGCATAACAGGGGTTTTTCCTCCAATGTTGAGGGGAGTCTGTTTTCTTTCATGTTTGAAGGGACAACAGTTGCTAAACAATGGCTGAATACAGGCCTGTACAAATCTGAAGCAGGCAACTTGAGTGCTTCTGACCACCAATCAGGCAGACAAAAGACCCTCAAACTTCCTGCAGTCATTATAAACGGAGGGACCGAGTCTTTGCATGCCTCTGTTTGCTAGAGAGAAGCTTATCATTCTAACTGTAAATCAACATTAGCAGCTACGTCGCAAAACCTCTCAACAAGCAGGTTTTACTGGGTGAGTTGAACCTCCAGCGCTGTGCAGACGGAGGACAGCAGCCTACAAACACATCATGTAAAGAGCTTAACAATTGGAGTTAGTATTCACAGCATCGTCATCCTCCCTGACTCTGTCCTGCTCTGGAAAAGGCCTTGCAGACTTTATGTATGCCCTGAATGATAATTACAGCGAGGTGCATCAGCGAGTTGACTTCCCACCACATTATCTGCCGCATGCTACCGAAGCCTCGGCGTCCCTTTGACATTGAGATAAAAGAGGAAGTGAAAACGAGCATGAATAATTCCATTTTCCGTTTCATTACTAAATGCTGCATTTGTCAGTACAGGAGATCTTGGACAGTTTGTACGACCTGCACACAAACTTTCATGTGTCTGTCGCCTCGTTACAGGCTGATGGATTTGAGAATATCTAATTCTGAGATGCTGCAGTTTAACAAAATTTTTTTAGGTCATGCTTGAGTAGATACCTTGGAGCACCACAACATGAGATACCATCAAAAATGTGACTGACACAAGGAGGATGCGTTTGTGAAACCACTCACACAACAGGACGCGCTGCATAACGTGTATCAGAAATTACAGCTAATTGCGCCGTCTCAAATTGCAGTGTCTATTTGAAACGCATTCAGTGTTCTAACTCGACTCATTGTATGCCATATAATGTGTTTTCTGACACAGTTAACAGAGCAGAACTGGTTCAGGTTTACTTTGTGAAGTGGCAGGGCTGGTTATGGGGCTTTAACTGTATGCATTATACAGGCAATATTACACAGCATGTGTCCGACAGACGGTGAAACCTCAGAACCACAAAACAAATCTAACTTGAGCGTTTTGATGCCCCCTGAATAATCTCATCCATGTTGATAGAGTCATAAGATGCACCTACATGTTAGAGCTGCAGCGATTAATCGATTAGTTGTCAACCATCAAATTAATCGCGAACAATTTTAATAACTGGTTTGAGTGGCTTTTGTTAAGAGACAAAGCCTCAAGTCAGATCGAAGCTTCTCAAATACAAATATGTTGTAGTTTCTTTCCTCCTCTTGGACAGTAAACTGAATATCTTGGACAAACGCTGGACATTTTTCACCATGTTCTGTCATTTTATAGCGCAAAGCATGAATCAATTAACTGAGAACATTGACTAATCATCAATGAAAACAATCATTAGTTGCAGCCCTTGAATGGTGTTAATGATAATACTGTGAAGGCTATTATGATTCACATTTCTAAATAAAGCTGCAATTAACCGATTACTTGTCAGCTTTTAAGTAAAACAGTTTTTTTTTTCTGTTTAAAGACTGCAGCTTATTTAATATAAATACTTTCTTGTAAACTGATTATCTTTGGGTTGGAGACAAAACAAGACGTTCAATGACGTTGTTTTAGACATTTTCACCATTTTCTTACATTTTATAGGTCAAACTAATCTATTATTGAGATCATGTTTAGCAGTGTAATCCACAATGAAAATATGTATGACTCGCAGCCCTGCAATGCAACTGTTTCATGCATGCTGAACTTTCTTCAAATTCTAATATAGCTCACAAATCCACGGACATGCATTCACCTTTAGCACACAGCATGCACACGGGCTCTTTTACCCTCCTGCTATTTTCGGTTGTTAATTTGCTAGATCGGTCAATCAACACTTAAGGCTGTGATTGTGCAAAAACACAGAGAGATTACCTGTCATCGAGCCTCGCATACACACACATATAAACACCTGTAAAACAGTGTCACATATAGTAAGAGTTGGAGGCTAGTTTTTCGGTCCGTGCAGCAAATACTGAGCCCAATAACACCGACTACAGCTATCGATACTAACCGCTCATCTTTCACCGTTAGCGGCTAACTTTAACCACCGATCAGCGCAGCGACAAAGTGAAGCCCGATTACCTTGTTTTCCCCGTTTTCAGCGGAGCGGACGAGGTTCGCTTCTGAGAGCAAATGTTTGCACGAGTGGAGGAAGCTGTGAGGCCAGAAGCTGCCCGCTCGTTTGCTGCCTCCTTCCTGGTTCTGCGGCTCCGACACACCAGCGGCTATTAGCCACCTAGCCCGTTAGCCACCTAGCCTGTTAGCAGCAGCTCCGGGACCAAGTTGGCGAACAAACCAGACGCTCGGTGCCGTTGCAGGAAGACGGGTTGCCGGTCTGTGGTGTCATTCCCAGTTAAATTTACACTTGAGAATGGCTCCACGTGATTCTAAATTGCGCTAAATGTGCGCTTTTGTAATGTATCGAGATTTGACGGCAGCTAACAACCGTGCTCACGCTAACTGACGCTAACGTGAAGCGCTAATCACGCGAGACTTCGAGTGACGAACCCTTGATGCCCAGCTGAGACGAAACCTGCAAGAAGCTCCAGTTTGTGTCCCAGTTTGGGCAACATTCCTGCACTTTGAACACATGTGTAGGGGTCATAGGTATCAGGGGTTAAAACTTCCAATAGGATAGGTGATCGAATGACCACAAAGAGATGCTAAATGTTTCTAACAGACAATATTCTACAAAAAAAAATACCTACAAAATAATCCCAAAGAGATGCGAAATTACCACAAAGAGTAACTACAGAAACTCAAAAGGAATAGAAAGAGATGCAAAGCAACCACAAAGCGACACAAACCAGTAAAAAAAAATGACACAAATAGATACAAAGCAAAGAAATGTAAAATGACCACAAAGAGACACAAAACACCATAAATAGAAAAACTACCAGAAAAGGCACTGCAAGTGTTTGAAATGTATGAAAACATACACAAACAACATTCAAAACAACTAGAAGACTGCATAAAGAGATAAACCTTTTAGAAAGAGACACAAATGGAGACAAACTCACTCCAAAGAGTATGTGGTTGGTGTGAAACACACACAAAAAAAAACTGCCAACATGCAGAAAACATCTGCAGAGAAACTCAAAACATTTATAAAACTCTCTATAACGACTACAAATGACACAAAATAGTTGCAAAGAGACACAAAATGACCAGAAACAGACACAAAAGACAACAAAAAAAGAGACAAAATGACGAGTAAGAGACAAAAAAAACAAACAACTACAGATAAATTCAACGACTGCAAAATCCTGCAAACTGGCCAAAGAGAAATTAAACCCAATGAGGTGCAAACCACTGACAGATAAATGGAAAATGAACATTTTGAAAACCAAAACAACACATTTGAGTTTAAATTACGTACAATATTAAGTTGGTGCAATTACAAGCATAAATGTCAACACAGCGCATCAACATATCTTTTGCAACTTCGAAGTTTGATCTAAAACAGTGAAAAAAATAAAATAAATGTAAAAAAATTCTCTCTCTCTCTCTATATATATACACATATATTTGCAAACATGCATTTAACTAAGCGGTGGGAATAGTTCGTTTGAATTACTTTTCAGAGCCTATAACAATCTTTGTGTTTGTATTTCTTCATGGATTCTGTTTCCTTGCAGACAAATGCTGACCAGTTTCTCTTATTAAACTGCATCAAACACTTAAATAAAACCAATCAACTTCAGGCTTTTACACTGAAACATGTTCAGGCTAAAGCACAGCTGTACCTCGGTGTCAGTTTGTGAAGCTCTGCTCTGTTGATCAGTCTGATCCACGTAAAGCCTCCGTCAGAGTCTCTGAGTTGTGCTGGTTCCAACACAAACACACTCACAGCGTTCGGCCTCGACTCACCGCTGAGCTTCTGTTACAGTGAATGAAATAAAAACTGATTTTAAAGTTAGTTTTTAAGGTGTTAAATGAACTGGAGCCACATTATTAAGCTGAACTCTCCCGTCTGTACAGACTTTGACCGACCAGATGCTTGTGGATGTTCTGAGATCCAGAAACAGAAATAGAGTCGACGGAGGCTTCACAGCATCTGATCCTGATCTCTGGAACACTTTATCTTTTCATTACGGCCGGCTGAGACTTTAGAAACGTTCAAATCACTGCTGCAGATCCACGTCTTCTTTCTGGCCTTCGATGAAAGTGGAGCTCAACAGCCTGACGTCAGCTTTTAACAGGATTAGTTCACAAACATATCGACATGACTTCAGTCGACATTTTAAACAGGTTCGTTATTATTTTAACCATTTACCCACAACTTCAAGCTTTCTGTTTGGTCTGGTTATCAGTCTGACTACACTTCATATTTTGCTATTTATTTGTTGTTTTCCAAGAATATTTCAACAGTTTTTCCACAATTTTTAAAGTTTCTATTTTATCTGTTTATCAGCCTGTCCTACATATTTTACCATTCATATGTATTAATCAGTCTTCACTCTGTATTTCAACATTTACTTGTTATTTTTAGATAATTTTTTCAACAGTCTATTCATCATCTTCACAATTTATTTAAGCTGTTTACCCACAATTATATAGCTTTTATTTATCAGTCTTTCCTACATGTTTTACCATTTATTTATCACTTTTCAGCCTCGTCTTTACTAATTATTTCAGCTGTTGAGCCAATATTATCTGTTTTTATTTCAGCTGTTTATCAATGAGTCTTTAGTGCATTTTTACCCCTCATTTATCATCTTTGAATGATTTTTTCACCTGTTTATCAGCCGTTTATAGTGATTATTTTAGCTGTTCATTATTTTTTTATTGCAGCTGTTTTTCAGTCAGACTTTAGATTCATTCATTACTATAGCTACCCTTTTTTTCAGGTCATGCATTCTTTTTTTGTTAATTATTTCAGCTGTTTATCCAGAACTAATATTACTATTTAAACTACTTTTAACACTTTCACTCACATTATTTTTCTTTCGTGTTCATACTTTGTTAATCTCAACGTTGCAATAAGTTCAGTAAAAATCAGCGTTTATGATCCTGGTTTGATGTTTATTTTATTTCTAAAGAGAATTATCCTTCTGTTGGTGGTTCGTCAGTGATCTAACTTTGACTGATTCGAGGAGCGGCGACGCCTCAAACTATCTTCAGCCTCCATCAGACTCCCGGTTTGAATGTTCACGGCTCAGATCGGCTCGCCGGGATCAAACTGCTCCTCGCTGACCTTCGACTGAGACGTTTAAACTCTTCGTTCGCTGTCATCTTCCTTTAAACCCCAGGCGTCAGAGTTAAAATTAAACCTGATAAATCTCCGCACACCGAGCTGTTTACGGTCTCCAACTTTAAGAAGTGAGTCAGCAGGTTTATGGGAAATAAAGTCGGTCGGATCTGCAGCTTTACAACCGTGTCATCATTAAAATAGAGCAGGGAGGTCCAATCCTGGTCCTGGAGGGCCAAAGTCCTGCATGTTGTAGATGTTTCCCTTCTTCCAACACACCTGATTCACACGATCAGGATCGTTATCAGGCTTCTGCAGAGTTTGATGATGAGCTGATCATTTGAACCCTTTATAGTTCACACCTTCAATAACTACATCACAGCCACTAGGTTCATTGGTTATTGGTCCACGGATAAACTTTTTATTGAACTTTCAAAGCAGCATTTAAACACTTTTTTTAATTGTGGCCTCAAGCAAAGTTAACACAATCTTCTTCATGACTGAATAAGGACTCAGTGGGGCTCTAAAATATCATACTGAGGCATTTAAACTACGAGTAAGCATGTAAAAATAAAGATATAGAAGGTAAAAGCACTCACCCAGCAGTGGAGACTGAAGGTTTCCTCGTCTGAAGAACGAACCTCAGCGAGTCCAGAACCAAACGTCTGACAGCCACTTGGTGAAATCACATCTGAATTATAAATAGTTCTGGAGGCGTTTTCATTAATGCTGTCTGACTGCGATGAGCTACGACTGTCGCTGTTTGTCTCCACATGTGAGATGAGTCTGCAGGCTGCTGGAGGCCGAGGAGCAGCGATTCAGATCAGATGTTCAGCAGCGTTTGTAGCAGGACAGGAGCTGGTTTCATTCACCTGATGAAGGACTCAGAGCAGGACTCACGTTTCCTGCTGATGGACTCAGTTTTACGTCTATCTGTGGTTCCACCTCGTTGAAGCAGCGACACGAACTCGGCGCTGAACCAGAGATGAGACGCTGAATTACGGATTTTATTCAAATCTGCAAACCAGGAAGCTTTTCATGTCGCAGCCGCAGAGCAGTTTATGCAAAAAGAGTCCAGACTGTCCAGGAACACAAAGAGGAAAAACAACGGCAAAGCTTTTCTCAGGGTCACAGTCTCTATGTGAATTCAATTTAAAGAATCCAGGGGCTTTGTTACTGTCACATGCAGCAATAAACAAGTCACCAGTGTGATGAAGTTCTTAGTTTGCTGTCTTTATGTAGTGCTGAGATTAAACTTTTACAGAAACACTCAGATGCTCAGGTACAAATATTAGATATGACGAAGAGGGTAGAAATGGGTCTGTGCAGAAAAAAAAGTCATGTGCAATATTTATGGTGCAAAGGGTTAAAATCTTATCCAACATACTGAAGGACGATGTAGAAAAATACTCTAAAACTGTTCTGCTTTCTCATAATACAACCGGAAAAAACAGAGACACAAAACAACGGAGAGGAGACAAAACATCAG